TGTCCTCTCCCTCCGCAGTCACAGCATCTGAACCGTCCAGATCCGTCAATGGGGTTTTTCTTGGCCTGCCTCTACTTTTTTTTGGGCGTTGAGGATCAGGCTGTGCAGACGATGTCCCAGTTTCCTTTCGTGGTGCTGTCGTTGCAGCACCATGAGGCAGTGTGTCACCGCCTCCCTTCTTGTGAGCACGCATGTGCTCCTCTGTTCCCAAGGTGCGTGCCTTCCTTCGCACATCTGTCTGGGAACGTTTACTTAGGAAGTTGGCTGCCTTCGTCAATCCACGCCAGTCCCCATGTTGACCCTCCTCAATCTCCTCCAGGTTGCATTCTTCACGGCAAGGAACAGCAGCTTCATCCCCATCTTCATTATCCCCGCTATCAACAGGTGGAACAACATTGTCACCAGCTGAGGTAAGGCTCTTCAATCGCCGCTCAGCCACCTTCACTCTTTCTTTGGCCTCCTTTTGCTTTTCCTTTGTCGGTGGGTCATCCCATTCAATAAGGTTTTTGGCCCTCTCCGGCATCTGCTACAGCATGTCAAGCAGCCGCATGTTCCACTTGCTGTACACTAGTTTGTGCATTGTCTTTGGGGCCAGGCCATTGCGCTCTTTGGTGTGAATTGCTGCGAAAAGGCTCCAATTCCTTTCGCAGCCTGAAGCAGACGACCCTTGCCCCAACAGTCGAATGGCATGGGGCTGCAAGTGTTGTAACTCATTGCACCAGCACTTCCACCATGCCGCAGGGTTCTGCTTACGGGCTGCATCCATAGCCACGTGCGAGCTGAACTTGCCAATGTTCTGAACCCAACAATCGACCTCGTACTCCACCTGGTTGCACACCTCCTGTGACGCCCCTTTGAGCCATGTGTACACCCAGGTGTAGAATCCATTTTGGATCTCTGCATCCTTGTGCGGCTCAGATGACCTGTACTCTGGATCCAGGAACAGGGCTGCACAATGGAGGGGAGTGGTCATGGCATTCCATTTGCGCATGACCATCACCTCGATCTCGTCCCGCTGATCCACTGTCAGGTCCTTGTTAACTTGCAGGCGCTCCACTATCCTGTCCATCTTCGCATAAACCTTGCTGATGGTCGGACCGTTGCCATCCACCAGTTTCAGCAACAATACAATGTCGTAAACGGCATTGATTGCCTTGTTCACAAGATCCAAAAAACCTGCTGCATCGAGTATGATGTCTTCCATCTCGTGGAGGGTCGAGCGCTGCGCATGGGGGACCAACGTCGCTGTCCACATGTCGTCTGTGACCATAGCCACCAACGCTTTTCGCCGCTTCTTCAAGCGGTCCAGCATGTGAAAGTTGGTGGCGAAACGCGTTGCCGCGGGTCGCAGTAACTGCCTTCCACCTGTATGGATGTAGTAAACATCCCTGACTCGCTGGTGGTTCATGACGAACTTCACCATGTCGTTCGCCTTCGTCACCGTTTCAGCGACCCACTCTATCTTCCCAATGTCGTGCAGCATCAAGTCGAGGCAGTGCGCAACGTATGGCACATGGAAGGTTAGCGGGAATGTATCCTCCACCAATCTACCAGCTCTCGCGCACACGGCAGCGTTGTCCATTATCACTCCAACAACACTCTTCTCGCCAACTTCGCGAATCGACTCAGATAAGATGTAGAAGTACGCTGCTGCTCCCTTCTCCTTGCCTGACATGCAATGCGACTTCCAGAAAAGCACACCGGTCGGAAAGGAGACCATGACATTCAAGTGCGGTCTGCCTCTTATGTCAGTCCAGCCGTCAAGCTGGAGCATGCATCCGGTTCGAGCCTAACTTCTCTGCTGCCACAAAAACCCCTCCTCGACCCGCGACCGGGACATGTCCAACCTCTTCGTCCGCTGCGTGTCGTATTTGGCAGGGATGAAGGACCGCTCCGCGTCGAGGACCTTCTCTATCATGCGCAAGAAATACTTGTTGCGCACCATGTTGAAGGGGACTCCTTCATAAACCAACCAGTCATCTATAGACCGTTGTGCTTCCTCGTTCTTAGAGATTATCGCCCCACCCTCTTCAAGCGTAGTCTGCCGCACGTTAGTGGTGGTGGAAAGACCTGTGTTGACCCTGTTTTGAGGAGGTTGGGGGCTGCTGCATACCTCCTCGCCCTCCGGTTCGTCCATGCCCTCGACGTCAGAGGGGGAATCCTCTGACAGTGCGGGTTGCACAGCCTTTCCACACACCAGCGCAATTGCCTCCAGTAGGCCCACCTCCCTCTTCTCTCTTTCCTCTGCTGACAGCCTACCGCCTAACCTGTTCATGTTGCACCTCGGCCCTTTTGTCGTGGACTTGAAGTGCTCTGCACAGCGCTTCGCGGTCCCAGGGAACACCAGTTCGCAGTACCGACATTTCCAATTGTAGTTCCCTTTCCTTGGCTCCCCATGCACGCTAAGTTTCTTGAAATGGCGCTTGATCGCCTATGCATCTGCTTTAGGCATCCTGAATATGATGGCGGCGACAATGCAGCAGACAGCAAGGATGGGGTGTCGGATCAATTGAAAACCCGGATGCTCTCTCTGTTTCTCTCTCTCTCTCTCTCTCTCTCTCTCTCTCTCTCTCTCTCTCT